TACACACACACAAAGATATATCAGATTATGTTTTGAGTTTTATTTGCCACAAACTATTATTATGACCACAAAAGAAAACATATTCATTCTCTCAGACTTTACAAGTGCTTTTGAAATTCACGATCATGTGCTTATGCAAAATGATCACCCTGATATTTTTACTGGCAGAGAGGGAAAACATTCCCACAGTAGCTTGTATACTGAAGACACTCACCAAATATTTGCTGAACAAATGTTGCTTGGAACAAAATCTCATTTTAAAAAAATCAGGCTAGGCACGGTGGCTCACGCCTGGAATCCTAATACTTTGATTTGGGAGGCTGAGGTAGGTGGATCACTTGAGGTCAGGAGTCTGAGACCAGCCTGGTCAACATGGTGAAAACCCCAACTCTACTAAAAATACAAAAATTAGCCAGGCATGGTGGCGGGCACCTGTAGTCCCAGTTACTCGGGAGCCTGAGGCAGGAGAATCGGTTGAATTCAGGAGGCAGAGGTTGCAGTGAGCCGAGATCGTGCCACGCCACAGCACTCCAGCCTGGGCAACAGAGCAAGACTTCATCTCAAAAAAAAAAAAAGAAAGAAAAAAAATCAAACTGGGTTTTAATCTAGCTATGCTGGGACAGCCCCACAGTGGCCTGCATAATAATGAATGACCATTCATTAAATAGTTGCTGAATATTGTTTGAAAGATCAAATTATGTAGAACAAAGTTTAAAAACAACTAGGTCTTACATAAAAAAATTAAATATACCTACAATATATCAATTCAGGTCTGAAAATATCATGTTGATATCCCAACCTTTTCCAAATGCATAACATTAAAAACATCAGATCAGCACTAGGGTCCCAAGAGTATCTCCACATTTATGTAATCATCATCACATTAGCCCTGACTTCACATAGGCAAATCTTGTTCTGGTGCAAACCAGTCAACAATAAAAGGCTAAAGTTAACATCTAAGTTGCTACCATCTATAATTCATTTTGACTACGATAAATCAAATTTTAGCAACCAATCATCAGTTAGATGCCACTATTGAGTCCATAGTAGACTAGATTTCAAATTCAAATGTGTTGGCACTGACTATGCAAACCTACCAGTGTTGTAGTAGGAGCAGAAACAGTTGCTTTCAGACTACTCAGTTCCTGCTGGATTAATTTTTCTTCTTCCTGAGAAAATGAAAATATTTAAACACTTAATTAACTGTCTTTTAAAACCGTAACAGCATTTATCTAAAGGAAAAAATATAATTTACAATACTTTTAATTTAAAAGAAACATTATTTTAAAGGAGAGTTATAAATATTATGTACTTATGATCTATCTAAAGCCCTAGCTCCAAACCAGAACCATCCCTGGAGAGAATAAATATTTCCAGGCTACCCCATCCTTCCTCTTTTCTTTTTTTTTTTTTTTTTTTTGAGACGGAGTCTTGCTCTGTGCCCCAGGCTGGAGTGCAGTGGCATGATCTCGACTCACTGCAAGCTCTGCCCCCCGGGTTCACGCCATTCTCCTGCCTCAGCCTCCCGAGTAGCTGGGACTACAGGCGCCTGCCACCACGCCCGGCTAGTTTTTTGTATTTTTTTAGTAGAGACGGGGTTTCACGGCATTAGCCAGGATGGTCTCAATCTCTGACCTTGTGATCCGCCCACCTTGGCCTCCCAAAGTGCTGGGATTACAGGCTTGAGCCACCGCGCCCGGCCCCTTCCTCTTTTCTTTACTCAGTTACTTCCCCTTAATGGCAGAAGAGCAGAAAATGGTTTTTTAAAAACTAAAGGTGGAGGCCGGGAGCAGCAGCTCATGCCTGTAATCCCAGCACTTTGGGAGGCCAAGGCGGGTGAATCACTTGAGGTCAGGAGCTTGAGACCAGCCTGGCCAACATGGCGAAACCCCGTCCCTACTAAAAATACAAACATTAGCTGGGCATCCTGTAATCCCAGATACACAGGAGGCTGAGAAAGCGGCAGGAGAATCGCTTGAACCCAGGAAGTGAATGTTGCAGTGAGCCAAGATCGTACCACTATCTCAAAAAAAAAAATTAAAAAAAATTAAACGTGAAGAGAGAGTAGAAATTCTCCATGTATTGGCCCAAGAAAAGAGTCTCATCTCACATCTTCCCCTTAGAAGTAAAAAGTCTTCATGGAATTAAGAAATAGGGTAAGAAAGCAGAAACAGAAATAGGTATTTTCCCCTTAAACTACATTCTTCTTCCCTGTCTTTTCCTCATTCCCCGAATCCTTTCCATCACTTCCTATCTCAGACATATACCAATGTGGTCACTTCTACTGTCTGCATTGTATGTTATCTTCCTAAGCACTTAAAAAATTGGCCCAATTTTTTTTGGCTAAAATCATGCTACCTTTAAATTACACACTGAATTACATGTTCATCAGATGGCTATTCAAAAGCCACTAGTGAAGCACTGACACACGTGGATGCCTATCTACAGTTTCAAACTGCTATTTAAGATCAAAAATAACTTTTTAAAAAATTTTATTGAGCATCCCTTAAAAATTAGCAAAGGACAAAAACCTTAAGAAAAACAACATTAAGGCCACAAATGGCCAGGCATGGTGGCTCACGCCTGTAATCCCAGCATTTTGGGAGGCCAAGGCAGGTGGATCACCTGAGGTCAGGACTTCAAGACCCGCCTGGCCAACATGGCGAAACCCTATCTCCACAAAAAATATAAAAATTAGCCAGGTCTGGTGATGCGTGCCTGTAATCCCAGCGACTAGGGAGGCTGAGGCAGGAGAATCACTTGAACCCAGGAGGCAGAGGTTGCAGTGACCCAAGACATGGCGAAACCCTATCTCCACAAAAAATATAAAAATTAGCCAGATGTGGTGATGCGTGCCTCTAATCCCAGCGACTAGGGAGGCTGAGGCAGGAGAATCACTTGAACCCAGGAGGCAGACGTTGCAGTGACCCAAGATTGCAGCACTGCATTCCAGCCTGGGCGATATAGAGCAAGACTCCATCTCAAAAACAAGACTAAACAAAGCCCACAAAGAATGATTCTGGAATGTGAAGCAGTTTCTCTCTGTATAACATCAACTTATTTGAGCTACCAAAAAACAATTTTTTTAAATCTTCTTTTCTGTCTTTCCTTCTCTTTTAGCATTTATATTGCATTATAGTCATACTTACACTTAAGCCCAAAACGAATGACCAATTCCTTGGGAAAAGGGAATGTCTTTAATTCTATTTTCCTGTGTCTAACACATAACCTTGTTCCCATAAACATTTGCTGAACAAATAATGACATTAATATGTGCTCTTTTTAAGATATAAACTCCTTGTAGCGGTGAATTGGTATACTACACAATCCGTGCAACCATCAAGGACCTGTGGGGGCCCAGCACGGTGGCTCATGCCTGTAATCCCAGCACTTTGGAAGGCCAAAGGGGACGAATCACTTGAGGTCAGGAGTTCCAGACTAGCCAGCCCAACATGGTCAAACATGGTTCCAGACCAGACAGCCCAACCCTGTCTCTACTAAAACTACAAAAATTAGCCGGGTGTGGTGGCGTACGCCTATAATCCCAGCTACCTGGGAGGCTGAGGCAGGAGAATCGCTTGAACCCGGGAGGCAGAGACTCCAGTGAGCCGAGATCGTACCATTGCACTCTGGCCTGGGCGACAGAGCAAGACTCCGTCTCAAAAAAAAAATTTTAAGGCCGGGCGCGGTGGCTCACACATGTAATCCCAGCCCTTCGGGACGCCGAGGCGGGCGGATCACGAGACCATCCTGGCTAACACGGTGAAACCCCACCTCTACTTAAAAAATACAAAAAAAATAATTAGCCGGGCGTGGTGGCGGGCGCCTGTAGTCCCAGCTACTCGGGAGGCTGAGGCAGGAGAATGGCATGAACCCGAAGGCGGAGCTTGCAGTGAGCCAAGATGGTGCCACTGCACTCCAGCCTGGGCAACAGAGCGAGACCTCATCTCAAAAAAAAAAAAAAAAAAAAAAAAAAAAAAAAAAAAAAATTAAAAAAATTGTAGAATCTTAAGGCTCCAGCAAGCCGAGATCGCACCATTGCACTCCAGCCTGGGCGACAAAGCGAGACTCCGTCACTGAAAATTAAAAATTTTTAAAAGCTTAAGAATTTTTATAACTGCTAATTTTCAAAGCCCATTTGAGGCAGAAACTTAGCAAATTTTACATTTTAAGAGAACTATGCTTTTTCTTTGCCCAACACGTTGTTCTAACCCAAGAACCTCAAGCTCCTCAAAGATATTCAACATGAGGCTCACAGGATCTGTTCAGGTATGCGACATCTGAACTGTTGTTCAGTTGAAGGGACGGGGGGAGAGAAGGAAACTGAATAGGGAAAAAAACTTTGTGGAAGGTTAACAATGTCTGACACCTCCATTGCACTGGGTATTTTCACACGCTTGACATCTCACCCAATCCTCAAAAACACTATGAATTATGTATCAGTACTTTTCCACGCCAACGTTGAGAAAACACATGGAGGGTCAGAGGTTACAGAGATATGCCCCAGACCAAAGAATCAGTGTCAGAACCAACTGTGGAAACTCGGCCTCCCTTGCTGTCAGTCCCAGCAGGAAAGTGAAGCTTCCAGGCAGACGAAAGGACGAACCGACACAGCAGCCCCTGAGCCCCGCCGGAGGGCTAACCCCGGAGGCCTTGGAGTCTCGCCGCCCGGCCAGGGCCTCCTGGCGCGGGGGCCTCACTCCGATGTCCCTGAGCTCCCGGGCCAGCGGGCACCTACGTGCTTGGAGGTGAGGGCGGTGATGCCGCGGACGAGGCTGCCTAGCCTCGAGGAGAAGGACGCCTTGGCGGCCGCGGGCCCACCACCTGGCTGGTTCTGCAGAAAGAGTCCCGGCAGCGCCGTCAACGTCTTCTCCACTATGTCGCTCATCGCCGCCGCCGCCCGCGATCCGGTAGCCGCCCGGCTTCATGCCCAGCCGCCGCTGCCTGCCCGGCCTCCGTAGGCACTTCCTGTTTTTTGAATAAGAAATCTTTATTGGCGTCCCGCGTGAACCAGTTCAGTGTCGTTCTCGCCAGAGGCCACCAGAGTGCGCAAGAGACCGCGGGGGTGGAAAAGGCCACTCGCCCGAGATTGCGCGCGGAAGTGGACCTCCTTTCTCGCAGCGGGGTAGTGGCTCCGGGATCCCCCAGAACTGTGAGTTCTCCTGAGGAAGCCGCCAGGGGCCTCGCCCTGTTAGGCATTGTCTCCCAGGGTCTTCTTTTCCCACTAGCCGCCTGCGCGTAGCCCGAGACCGCGTCAAGAGTTGCGTCTCCCTGAGCGCGCCTTTTTCGGGACGTCCCCGCCCGGTCCACCGCCTCTCACTGTCCCCGGACCGCGCACCACCCGCCCACTTCCCACAGGCGGTTTCACGCGGGTCCCCGGCGCCGCGCGCGGCTCCGGCCCTGGCGACTCATACCCGAGGAGTTGCGTGATAGCAGAGCTGTCCTGAGGATTCGGCGTGCCAGGTTCAGAGCCCGTCGCGTGCCAGGGACTGGCGGCCACTGTCGCTTCCCGTCCGCCCCTCTTCTCTTGGTATTTGGGGGGTGGACGGGAAAAAGAAGTAGTTGGCGGCCACCCTTGCCGACTCCTCCTCAGCAGGTCGCAGTTGAAAGGTTACCTTCCTGGAGCCCACTCCCTGTCCCGGCGGGCAAGGACAGGTCTCCACGTCCCACCCTCTCACAGGGCTCGGTTCTGTTCCACTTTAGAACAGGTCGCAGTTGCCACTACGTAAACAGCTCCCCATAGAGAGAGTGTTTTATTCATGCCGATTGCTCCAGCTTTTACCTAGAACAGAATCTGGTACAGTGGCTCTCGAAATGTGGTCTGGTGACCTCAGGGTCCCTGATACTCTTCTAGGGAATTCACAAAGTCAATATTGATAACGTTTCTTACATGTTATTTGCCGTTTTCACCCTCATTCTGTTGGAAGTGTACAGAGTTTTCAAGAGGCTAGATGATGATTGACTACCTGGTAAAATGTATGCTGGAGTATCCTTGTGTTTTCTAGAATTTTCTAAGGTAGTAGGTTTAGGGCATAAATATGTGCGTTTTCAGAGATTAATGCAGTTTGTCCTCAATACTCCTAGTGTGTTTCTAGGAGGTAGGTTAGATAGGTGGTCATAGCCTCCCTTCAAGGGGAACAAACTTGCTAAATAAATAGAACAAACCAGCCCATAGTGTACAAACCACATCCCAGGCTCCTGGTTAGAAAATTTTGCAGCAAAGAGGTAGAAGAGCAAAAGGGAAAATCCCCAAATTCTCACAAGTGCAGAAACCCATCAGTATCCTTGGGCTGAATTATACTCATTGTAATAGTAGGAAGAAAAAAAAAACAGCCCTGGGTGAAGATTTAAGATACTAATAAGACATGCAATGTATATACTAGCATATACAACCACAGCGCACATGGCCCCAGAAAACTAGAGAACATGCTTAATAGCAACACCTGTTCTCCCCTCTTCATGAATGATCCTGTGAGACTCCTACAAAGGGAGTTTCACCAGTGTCAGTGCATGCTGTCTCACCTTTGAGCAGCCCACTCTGATCAGCTGTCAGGGTGTACTTTCGCTTTGCAATAAACTCTTTTGCTTGCTTTTACTTTGGACTTTAAATTATTTTGCACTGCGAAGTCCAGAACCTCAACCGGCCCACCAGCTACAGCTACACTTACAAGCTATCTTCAGTTATACCTGCTCTAATCTCTGTAACCTCCTTGTCACCTAATAAATGAGTTTTTTTTGAAATCCTGAAGTTGTTCTAATATCTATACGGAAACATAAGAAAAAAGTTCAGTTTGTTGGCTTGTCTCACAAGAATATTTTTTAACATATTGAGAACATTTTAAAATATTTGAACTTTATCTAAAAGGGACACTCATTATTTAATTTTTTTTTTTTTTTTTTTTTTTTTTGAGATTCTAGCTCTATCACCCAGACTGGAGTGCAGTGGCACGATCTGGGTTCACTGCAGCCTCCTCCTCCTGGGTTCAAGCAATTCTCCTGCCTCAGCCTCCCGAGTAGGTGGGATTACAGGCGCGGGCCACTGCACCCAGCCAGAAAGGGATACTCTTTTGGAATTTAATTTTTTTTTTTTTTTTTTTGAGATGGTGTCTCGCTCTGTTGCCCAGGGTGGAGTGCAGTGGTGTGATCTCGGCTCACTGCAACCTCTACCTCCCAGGTTCAAGTGATTCTCCAGCCTTAGCCTCCTGACTAGCTGGGACTACAGGCACGTGCCACCATACCTAGCTAATTTTTTTATGTATTTTTAGTAGTGGTGGGGTTTCACCATGTTGGCCAGGATGGCCTCGATCTTCTGACCTCATGATCTGCCCGCCTCGGCCACCCAAAGTGCTGGGATTACAGGCGTGAGCCACCACGCCCTGCCTAGAATTTAATATTTTGTCTTCCAGACACGATGGTTTATGCCTATAATTCTAGCACTTTGGGAGGCCAAGGCGGGCGGATTGTCTGAGCTCAGGAGTTCCAGACCAACCTTGCCAACATGGTGAAACCTCATCTCTACTAAAAATACAAAATATTCAGACGGGCACGGTGGCTCACGCCTGTAATCCCAGAACTTTGGGAGGACACAGTGTGCGGATCACAAGGTCAGGAGTTCAAGACCAGCCTGGCCAACCCATGTCTCTACTAAAAAAATACAGAAATTAGCCGGGCATGGTGGTGTGCACCTGTAATCCCAGCTACTCGGGAGGCTGAGGCAGGAGAATTGCTTGAACCTGGGAGGCAGAGGTTGCAGTGAGCTGAGATACCACCACTGCACTCCAGCCTGAGTGACAGAACAAGACTCCGTCTCAAAAATATATATATATATACAAAAAATTCAGCTGGGCATGGTGGCGCATCTGTAGTCCCAACTACTTGGGAGGCTGAGGCAGGAGAATTGCTTGAACCTAGGAGGCGAAGGTTGCAGTGAGCCAAGATCCCACCACTATACTCCAGCCTGGGTGACAGAGCGAGACTCTGTCTCCAAAAAAAAAGGAATTTAATATTTTATCTTAAAAATTAAATTTTGTTTTATGTGTAGTTTTTAAATTTTAGGCTCTTCCATTGGCTTAAAAAGGGGAGACTAGAAGATTGGCTTTCTAACGTTTCCATATGTGAAGATCCTGAAAAAGATGATGCTGACATCAGTATCAGAATTCGCTGAGTCAGGGAAAGGGAGAAATCTGGTTGAAACTATAAATAACAAAGGAAAGTATGACAAAAGCTTCTTTCTTTCCCTTGGCATTAGAGATGTTAATCACTCGCCTTATTTTATCTCATTCAATAGAACATTTTCAAATACTATTGTAGTGCCAATCAAGTTGACACATCGTTTTCAGACCAGTCAGAATTTAAAAGAAAGGGAATTGAATATTTTCAACATAGACATGATATGCTTTATAAAAGCCAAAGCTTTTGTATTACCATTTTCAAAGTAGAAATAAAAAAACCTACTGAAGCATCTTACACATGAACTTATTATATTTCATTCGTTGGAGAAGGACATGCAATAGCTAAAAGACTAATGAATGCCTGCTAGATGATAATCAGTAAAAGAAATCATAGGAGTGCTACTTATCAAAGATGCAGTAACTCACCAAATTAGACATTTAGTTGCAGGCCGGGTGAGGTGGCTCATGCCTGTAATCCCTGTATTTTGGGAGGCCAAGGCAGGCGGATAACTTGAGATCAGGAGTTTGAGACCAACCTGGCCAACATGGTGAAACCCTGTCTCTACTAAAAATACAGAACAATTAGCTGGGCCTGGTGGTGCATGCCTGTAATCCCAGCTATTTGGGAGGCTGAGGCTGGAGAATCACTTGAACCTGGGAGGCAGAGGTTACAGTGAGCTGAGATGGTGCCACGGCACTTCAGCCTGGACAACAGAGCAAGACTCTGTCTCATAAAAAAGAAGGAATTTAGTTGCAAACATAAAAACTGAGTTCATATCTCATCTGCAGAATTATAATTCCTTTAAAATGGACACAATTATTCATGTAGCCGGACTTGTTACTTTGCTTATATCCATCCAGTGTCAGCACCAACTAATTCTTGAAGATCTTCTTTTACATAAATCTTGACAAGAAACACAAGTGATACTGAAATAATGTATTGACCAACTTCTTTGAATCTCATAGTTCATCCTGGAACAATACACTCACATTTTTTTAAAGTCAGTTTTACTTAAGAATATCCTTGATGATGCAGTAAGAATTCTTAATTTTATTAAATCTCGGTCTTTGAGTGCACTTTAAAAAAAATATTTTTTTTGTGACAAAATGGGAAATACTCATAAAGTATAAACTCTTAAATCCTGAGGCTTTTTTTTTTTTTTTTTTTTTTGGCCAGGCGTGGTGGCTCAGGCCTATAATCCCAGCACTTTGGGAGGCTGAGGTGAGCGGATCACCTGAGGTCAGAGGTTTGAAACCAGCCTGGCCAGCGTGGTGAAACCCTGTCTCTACTGAAAATACAGAATTAGCCGGGCGTGGTGGCACATGCCTGTAATCCCAGCTACTTGGGAGGCTGAGGCAAGAGAATCGCTTGAACCCAGGAGGCAGAGGTTGTGGTGAGCCGAGATCATGGCATTGCACTGCAACCTGGGCAACAAGATGAAACTCCATCTCAAAAACAAAACAAAACAAAATCCTGAAGCATAACAACTGAGATAAGATAGTTTCTCAAGGAAAAGCATTTGAATCATTGTTTAACTTCAAAGCTGAACCGGCGGGTGCGGTGGCTCATGCCTATAATCCCAGCACTTTGGGAGGCCAAGACAGGCGGATCACGAGGTCAGGAGATCAAGACCATCCTGGTTAACACAGTGCAAACCCCGTCTCTACTAAAAATACAAAAAATCAGCTGGGCGTGGTGGTGGGTGCCTGAAGCCTCAGCTACTCGGGAGGCTGAGGCAGGAGAATGGCGTGAACCCAGGAGGCGGCAAAGCTTGCAGTGAGCGGAAATCACGCCACTGCACTCCAGCCTGGGCGACAGAGCGAGACTCTGTCTCAAAAAAAAAAAAAAAAAAAAAGTGAAAAACAGTAGTTTTCTTGAAAATGAACAGTGAGTCTTTCAGTTGTAGGGAAAGAAAAAAATCTTTTTCCTCTTACCTTTCTAACTTCTTGGCTGGGGCCCCTGTGAAAAAAACAAACAGAA